GCAGGGTTTCTATTCATCTGTCATGCTTTTACTGTCTATTCAAAACACAGAGACATTCATTTTTTTTTTTATCCTGCCAGCTGTAATTCTCCAACCACCCTTTATGGAGGCAATTATATCAGCTTTCTGTTTCATCAGAGAATTCAATTTAAGATTTTAGTGCCAGTGGTTAAAATACTTACTTCATACATAACTTGGAAGTTTGGATGGTTTTAATTCACGTTTATGTTTCTGTTCACACTTGGCATTCTTTAATTGATTTATTTGTTAGCTGTGCCATCTGCAGATTTCAGATAGCATGCTTTCACAAATAAATTTTCCCGACTCTTAAAGTGTTGTGGAAAACTATTTCCCCTACCTTATTACAATCAAAGCTGTACTGCTTCCTCATCTTTATAGCATTGTCTTCTCGTGTCTTTGTCTGGTTATATTGTTACAGGTATGGGCATTATACAGCCATAACTTTTGAACCACAGAGAAGTTTTGTACAGCATGAGCCAAAAACCCCGAATTTGAAATTTATTAAAAGCACCATGAAAAATTTTGAATCTTAGGAGAAGAAAGTCAGTCCATTAACTTTGAGACGTGTATCTAATTTCTGAAAGTGAAATCCAAGGGCTCGTCTAGAGTCAACACGAATGGCTGCCTCTCTTCTAACTTGCATTCCAGAACTGTGCAATTCTCATCTAGGGGCTCACATTTCTTGCCTGCTGCCTGGAGTCTGTGATGAATGGTAGTTAGGAAGTAAATGAAGAATCCAGGTTAATTACCGTGTCAGTGTTAAAACAAGTGGAGGCCATGTTCAGCTGGAACTGGGAACAAAGAGAAATGGAGTCTTTCTCTGGATGCCACTTGGACCTGTACAGGGTTTTTAAGGTGTCGTGACTGCTTTGAGAGGAAGGACCCTGAAACAGTCGTTCTTTGCTTTTGCCTAAAAACGTTGCTTGCAGTGTGGTGCCATCACTTGTTTCTATTGGTGGGTGGAAGTGTGGATGTCAAAATCACCATTAACAAATTGTCCAGCTGGAGATACGGCTCAGCACTGGCTGCTTTTCCAGGGGACCTAGGTTTGGTCCCTGGAACTCATATGACAGCTAATAACTGCCTGTTAACTCCAGTCCCTCTTGTGGCCTCAGCGGGACACCAGGCACACACATGGTGGGAGGACGTGAGTGCAGGCAAAATACCACATACACATAAAAATGAAAATAAGAATTAGAAGCAAAAGCAAACACTTGTATGCATAGGTGACTCAGATTTCTGCCCCCTCAGAGTCCTCTGCCCCAAACACTGGCCGATGGATCAAGAGTCTTTCCATGCCTACAAATGTAGAAACAGCAATGTCACTTTCCCTGGCTTCACACGGAAATTACCAGAGGAACTGGGAAACCCATTGAATTGGATTTCACCCAGATTTCTGATTTAATTGGTCTTCGATGCGGCTTTGGCATAGGGAATTATTTCAATGTTTCCCCAGTGGGTCCTAACGTGCAGTTGAGGTTGAGGAGTGTTGATAGAACCCCAAATACTCAAAGCCAGAACCCCAAATATGGTGTACATTTTATTTTATACCATGACTACTGGTTCTGAAGCTTCTCCTATTAAAATACTTGCAACAATTTCCAGTAAACTGCTTAGAATATTGTTCAGCCAAGTCACCTAGAAAACTTGTCAAATGTGCAGATTTTTTTGAAGTCCACTTTAGCTTCTGACTCAGTGCATTTGTGATAAATCTAAAAATATGCATATAAAAAAGTACAACGCCAGTGATTCTTATGTGTGCTTATATGTTGCTTCAAAACACACCTAATGAGAACATGAAAACAGGTTCACATTGGTCTAACCAAGGGCACACTACTTCATGGTTTTGTGTTCCAACTGCTAGTATGGAAAAGTATATATTAATATATATACTTTTTGACTTCAGAGAAAATACAGGCTTATTTCATTGTTGGTAATTTTCTAGTAATTATTTTAATGCACAATACATTTTGGCTGAAGACTTTGGCGGGAAAGAATGAATCTCTTACAACATTTTGCATGTCAATCTATATAAAATATGAATTAATAAAGCTCCATCAACCTAATAACTTTAATTCTTCAGTTTTTTTAAAAAAAAGTGACAAAAGAATTCAACAGTTTTGTGTTTAAAAAAAAAATCCTCCACTGAGAATTTTTTTTAATTTGTTTGGAAAAAAAAAAAAAAAAAAAAAACCAACCCTTGACACTTCTGTGTTTAGGGGATTAGAGAAAAATTTAAAGCATCCAGCACATTAAAACAACTTAAGGATGCCTAGGGTAACTTACACATTGAGGCTTTAGGATAAGCACACATTTTAGTCTAAAGCTAAAAATCCCCTCTGTCTAGCATATGCTGCAGTGGGAATTTAGGGAAAGAAAATGAATCATTCAAGCTGGAACTCTATCAAAATGTCAAATTAACACATTTTGGCTTGTTCCAGTGCCATGGGATGTTGGGATGTATGTCTGAATGATCAAGGCCGGAGGATGCCAAGTCATTTAAAGATAATGTCCTTACCAGGATGCTGGAGCTTTCAGGTGGTTTTGTTTTGTTTTGTTTTGTTTTGTTTTGTTTTGTTTTGTTTAACCCTGCCCTATCTTTGTGAGCTTTAACCCATCAAAGGAAGACCTGACAAGTTCACATTGTAATGAACCGAAACAGCTGCAAGGAAAACAGCTGCAGAGAAAACCTATAGTTCAGAAGTCTACAAACTTAGAGAAAGATAAGACATTTCCCCATGCTGGTGCAAGATGCATCCGCCCTTCTGAAAATGTTCTGGGGGTTTTGAAGATGAAATAACTTCCTTGATTGTGTCTGAAATGGTGTAACAATGAAGGAAGAACATCACTCCCCATAGTTACCACCGTTCCTTTCTCTTCAAAATGTTTTCATTTGGTCTTTTTTCTCCTGTAATCCTTGTTCCCTGAGGAGTGTGCTTTTCTATGGCATCCACAGCCAAGTCCTGACTACAGACAGATCGATAACGTGGGTCAGTTCAACGTAGTACCCATGTATACAACACTTTCATTTGTTGGTTTTATTACCCACGGGTAGAGTCTACTGTGAGAATTTTTAGCTTAGGAGTGAGTAAGTCTCACAACCTGTATGGTCAGAAGACAGAAAAGATGTCCAGAGCAGAGAGAAGCATTGCTCCCAGCATTTGAAGGAGCCCTATCTTGACCAAAAGAAATGGAAGAACAGACATAAAGTAGGAATTAGGGTGGACCAAGAAATTTTGGAGGCACCAGATCTGATCTGTAGTCCTTGAAGCTTTAGTTAATGCCATTTTTCAATTTTTATTTTGTCAATGTAGGAACTAGTAAATCCCTTGTGTTGAATTAACCTGTTTTGAACTAAGTTCCTAAGATTTCCAAGCAAAATTCTAACCTGGAGTATACTATCAGCTAATCTCCTACATCATTTCTCAGGGGAGAGAACAAGGTATCTTGCCTAGAGCCGTGTATTACCGTAAAGTCCCGTTCTATGCACTTTAATCTACTGATGCGTTCTCTCTAGAAAAGGCAGAACTACAGAGCTAGTGGGGTCTGCATTTACTAGCCCTCACCACATCCCAACAGATCATATGGACACTTGTGAATGAGTGGCCCCACTTCTGAGAGAGCATGTGCAGCTGCCCATAACTTGGGGCTACAGGTCCCCAGCAGTGTAACCATACTCTGTTTGTGATTCACCAGAATATATAAATATATATTACCAAAGCATGCAGTTTCTACGTTCCTTCCAAGAACTGGGATTGTGGCACCATGAATAACTGAAGTGGCTGAGTAGGATATTTAAAACACCCGAACCCTAGATCAAAACTTTTTACTACTGGAATGGTTGTCAGGAATGAAAGACTAAATTAACAAGTGTCATTATTACCAGTGGTCAGCGTGAGCCATGTATTTCCTGGTTCTTATTCAAGGATGAAAGAAAAATTCCACACAGACTGGAAAAGTAGCAAGGAAAGTTGAATCAAAGGGAAGCGATAGAATATGCCAGAACACACTGAGAATGAAGACACCCAAGGGGCCTGATTATTTGACAGTTTTAGGCCTTGCTAGTCTAAGCCACATCTGGCCCCCTCCACCTTCTTGGTATAACTGAAGAATCTAAGTTTCATGGTCCTTAAAGGGAAGAGAAACGTATGCCATTATTCAGAGAGGGTGTGTATGTAGCCTGATGCAAGGAGGGATCCTATGTTGTTAACAGGTTGCCAGGGTGAATTATCCAGAGGGACATGCACACCTCACATGTACAGACAGGCTCTCAGACTGCCAAGTGTTTTGTTCAAAGGTGTGTTTAGTCTAAGCCAAGCAGAGCTCAGGTGAACACTGTATTAGTCACAATGAACAGATTTAAAGGGTCACAGCATTAGGAAGGTTGAGAACCAGTGTCCTAAGAATATTCGAGTTTCGAACTCTTACAAGTGCAGTGTTCTGAAACATCCTCGAGATTAGGCTGTCTCTGACAGGCAGGCCCTGCTACAGAGCCCAAGGCAAGTTGCAGCTAAGCACCTGTCTGTGACCTACTTGTACTTTCTTCAAATCACCTCTCTCATTTTAATTCAGAAAAACACTTGAAGAATATGATAAAAGTAATTGAGCACCAAACTATTTTCTTATTTTAAATGGTTTGAAAATAAAACTGAATTAAGAAAGGAGCCTAGGTGGTAATATATTTTTAATTTTTAATTTTAATTCATTTCTTTTGGAGATAAACTTTGGCTGGCATTTTAATTTTAATATGCTAAAATATTTATACTTTACTACTCCTTGAAAAAGATAACTAGCCGGGCATTGGTGGCGCACGCCTTTAATCCACTAGGGAGGCAGAGTCAGGCGGATCTCTGTGAGTTCGAAGCCAGCCTGGTCTCCAGAGCGAGTGCCAGGATAGGCTCCAAAGCTACACAGAGAAACCCTGTCTCGAAAAACCAAAAAAA